TTTGATTATGTTCCTTGCTCTTCTATTTTGGAAAGCGTTAGAAAGACCCAAACCCAAATGATTTGTACTTTAGACCTCCAAAATCTATACGAATTTGAAATTTTGTAGCCCCAAGAACGAAAATTCCGCGTAAAACTTTTCATGCTTAATAATGTAGGAAAAGTTCTAAGTGGTTTCTTTGTAATCAAATCAATTAGTAATAGTCTATAATTTTCAAAACCGATCAATTTAAGGAGTATTTTTGGTCGAAAATTTAAATTTCGATTGACTATAATGGAATAATTGTTCATAATTTATCAATTGAGGTAGAATTTGATTTTTCAATCAAATTTTCGTAAAAATTATTGATTATTAAAATAATGAGGCAATTATTGATTAAATTAATATTTTTCAAATTCTTATAGTAGGTCATCTAAATGCATGAGTCAAAGCATTTGCAATGCTTTGAATCTAGTTTAGCTATGTGGCATGTAAATAAACCTAAGTCTTTGATGACATGGATAGAACAATATGAAATTAACAAAATTCACTTCAATGCAAGAGACTAGGCCTCTACTTGGGTCTAAAATTGACTAAAGTGTAGATCGGGTATCTTTTTCTTGCTGCCACCTCAACAAGACCCAATCTACTTATACTTGCATTGCAGAATATATTTTTTTAGACTGTGTCTATTATCTAGGTGGCATATAATTTTTTTTTATTCAACTCAAACTATTGTGGATGCTCTCAGACTGACTAGTTATATTTTTTTAATAAAAATGCTTACTTTGTTATAGTTTTGGTAAACGTGTATCAATCAAATTGACTAATTGTTTGGTTAATTCTAACGAGAATAATTGATAACCGAATTATTCGAACTCGAGTCGTCTCTCAAGGACGACGGTTCGGATCTTCGCTCACTAAGTAGTTGTCCAAGATCACAAAAAGAGCAAATAAAATCCTAAACATTTTATCTAGATGATTGGGGTTGAATTAATGCTAATTTAAACTAGGAATTGAGAGCAATTAAAAGCAAGTAAAGAAAGACGAGAAAAGATGGGAATTTTAGTCACCTGAGTTTCTACTACTCGAAATAAAAATGCAAACAAACCAAGAGAAATATGCAAGCACCAAGGTCCGATCCTAGGCAATTAACACAAGTTTTCTAAACCTAAATGATTAAGCTTTAACTAAAGTCTCAACCTTTGAAACGAGATAAGCAAGTAATTAACTCCTGATCACTTAGGCAAGCAATGAAAACAAAAAGATCCAACTTTTCCCCCATTCAACAAGAAACACACCACATTTACCTTGAAAAACATCATAAGTAAAACTAAAAGGGAGTAATGAGGCTTAAAAGTAAGTACCCACTCCCATACGAAGTAATGAGGCTTAAAAGTAAGTACCCACTCCCATATTACGTGCTAGAAGGAAATCGGAGCAAAAAGCTCGAAACTTTAATAAAAACGAAGTCGCCGAAAAGTTGCAAAAAAATTAAAGTCATAGAGCTCAAACATAAAATAGAGAGAAAACTAAAAGGGAGAACATGTCTCAAAGTGGAAAAATAGAAAAATGAAAGCTTAAGTGCTCCCACATATACACCTTGGAATTAATTTCTCATTCACCTTAAAACAGTTTTGAGAATTTCCTGAGTCTTCCACTTACGAAAAATGGAACCGTTAAATCTATACAAAACTAATTTTTTCTTACATGATGCCCATCGCCCAGTACACCCGCGCCCAGTGTTTTGAGACCCGGACCGGCCCGGCAGGTCGACCCGGAGCCGGAACCGGTCCGGGTGGAGTATTTGGACTGGGCAACCAAGGACCCGGTCAAACCCGGTCAAAACCCGGCCGACCCGGGGCATTGACCCGGCCGGGTCAACCCGGTTGACCCGGTCCATATATATTTTTTATATTTTTTTTATTATTTTTTTATTTTTTAAAAATAAAAATATGTATATATATGTTTATATGGTAAATATTTATCATGAAATACATATTATTAACACTTTAATATACAAATTTTATACACAAAATATTTAACTTGTTACTTTTATGTATATTTATATAACAAAAATACTCTATATATAATTTTAAAAATTTTTAAATTAATTATCCGGTTCAGCAATTGACCCGGTGACTCGACGGTTGAACCGGTGACCCGGTGACCCGAGGACCTGCCCGGGTCAATTACCGGGCCGGGTTTAAAAACTATGCCCGCGCCTCGCGGACATGCTGGCGAACTCGCGAGTGTCGAAGTGCCCTCACTCTCGACCTCGCGCCAAAGGCCGCGACCTCGCGAGTGCCACATATCACACGCCGCACCCGTGGAAAACCCTGCGAGGTCGAGAGTGCTTTCCACCTGCCACGTCCGCGTGTGCGGATCCCTCCACGACTTCGAGAGTGTTGATTTTCCTCGCGCCACGCTGTGCCTCCCTTCGAGACCTCGTGAGTGTTTTAGTAAATGTGCGTGAACCAGTGTGTGTTTGAGCTGGACTATAAATACATTTTGGTCCTTTGTATTTTTGATATCTAGATTTCATTCGTCACTTTCCCACTTTGGGAATAGTTTTTTTTTTTCTTTTTAGTTTTCTCTCTATTTTCTCCCTTGGAGATTTATGTCATCATTTTCCGGCGACTTTCCGGCGATCTCATCTTTTGTCCAAGTTTTGAACTTTTGAATCCGATTTTCATCTAGCATGCAATAGAAGATTGGGTATTTACTTTTAAAGCTCATTACTTCAATTTTTGCCTCGTTTTTAATTATAATGATTATCAAGGTGAATGTGAGTGTTTGTTGGATGATGGATGAGAAGTTTGGACTTGATCATTGCTATTGTTTGTTCTAGTAGGGATTAATTGCTTGCCTCTCTAGATTAAGGGTTAGAACTCTATTTAGAGCTTAATCACTTAGGTTAGAAGATTAGGGTTAGTGAGCTAGTGCTTAGAGCTTGCAAATTTCTCTTGATTTATTTCGTTTGGTTTCGATGGCATAGAGACTCCGGTAGTGTTAGTTGCTATATTCTCTCATTTACTTGTTGCTTTCAATTCTGAGCATCGATTAACATTCATTCACCCTTCAACCCTTTGATTAGCATGTTTAGCTTTTATTTTCCTATTTTGTGTGATTTTGGACAATTGAGTAGTGAACAAAGCTCCGAACCGTCTTCCTTGAGAACGACTCGAGGTCGGGTAGCTCGGTTACTAACTACCCACTAAATACAACAAAACAGCTACTTCGCAGCGAGTGCGGCAGCTGGACAAGTGAAGCTCGCGCGGTCGCGAGTGCTGCTTCGCAGTGAGTGCAGCAGCAGGAATCTTCGCGGATGGTCTCGCAGTTATTCTCGCGCGTTCACGAGACGAGGCTCGCTGCGAATGTGGTGTTGGGCAGGCGTCGACTCGCGCGCTCGCGAAGTAGATTTCGCAGCGAGTGCGCAGGCGATGGGCGTGGTTCTAGGGCACTCGCGAAGACGAGTTCACAGTATGTACCGAAGCGAGAGGCATGGGCTTTCGGGCACTCACGAAGCCGAGTTCGCAGCGAGTGTGGGTTGGCCTTGGGGCAGGTCTAGCGTGCTCGCGAATTGGATTTGGAGGCGTATGCGGCACGAGACTCGACTCCTTCACTCGGATGACTCCACGGCAATCTCTTTCTCCCGGTAGCCCTGATGGCTCAATCAAATGGCTCGACTAACTCGTCTCGGAATGGCTAGAACGGTAGCTCGAGTGGCTCATCTCAGAATGACTCGGCATAAAAAACATGGACAATGGCTCATCTTCCCAAACGTGTAATAAGGACCTAATCAACACCAAAAGAGACAAGAAAATACGCCGCAATGCAAAAAGACAAGACGAAAACGAAAACACATAACACACAACAAAATGGACCGGTTGACACTAAAACGAACCTAAAAACGACTCGACGAAGGCAAATAAAATGATAGAAAACACCACAAAAACATAACAAACACTAATCATAAGAGCATCTACAATGCTTTTGGTCTAATTTTTCTTATGTGGCATGTAATTAGACTTAAGTTTTGGATGATATGGACATAAATATATATAAAATTAACAAAATTATCTCAAATGCAAATAGACTATGTCTCTATTTGGGCATTAAATAGACTTAAGGGTAGACTGAGTCTCTTTTTCTTGCTGGCCACATCAGTATGACCTAATTCACTTGCACTTGCATTGGAGTATATATTTTTTTAGACTGAATCTGTTTACTAATTTTTTTTTTATTCAACTCAAAGCATTGTAGATGCTAAAAGTATATATGTCACACTACTTAACCTAACAACAATCTTACTCTTAGTAACTGGTCACGTAATTTCATCCATTTATTTTGTCACTCAACATAGAATTTTCAGATTTGTTCGTAGAGTTATGTTCACATTACAAAAAAATTGTCATATTCCAACAAAAAATCCTACGGTAGTATATTTCGAAGGAAATTCCAACGAATATACCAATGTTATAGTTTCCATTGCAATGATTCCAACAGAAATTTCAACGAAAATATTCCGTTGCAATGAGTTTTTCATTGGAATTTTAGATGGAATTTGATAATTCTAACAGCTATTTTTCCAACGATTTTTTACCGTAGAAATTTTCATTGAAATTTTAATTTCTACTCCTGTTGGAATTTTCAAAATCTAACGGAAATTTCAATGGAAAACTTATTCCAACAGAATATTTTTGTTGAAATTTCTGCTGAACTCCATTGAAAAATTCTAACGTAAATTATAACATTGGAATGTCCATTGGAATTGCCGTTGGAATATATTTCTATTGGAATTTTATCATTTTCTTGTAGTGTCAGGAATTCCTGCAGAACAAAAATTCTAATTCGTTATCACGTCTAACAACTATATGGTACACATGTATAAAGATTACTTCTTTGTATTATTAGCATGTATTTCTACTTCCAAGCTTCCTTTACATAAATATAAATTGGACTTTTTCTTTATTTGTTCAAGCTTATGGAAAATTAAAATGTCTAAACTAATTCATTAACTGTGATCAAAATATAAACTGAACCATAGCCCTAGAATTAACAAAATAAAGCAAAAATAACAAAAAGAAATCATTTTCTCCACAGACCAAAACCCTACAACATACTACTACAATGTCATGGCTCTTTGAAAACTAGGCATCTATCAACATTTTCAAAAATCCCAAACTCGTCAAATTCAAAACCCTCATCATCATCATCATCAATGGCCTCACCCTCTAAAGAAACATTCAAATCGAGCGAAAAACACTGGCTCTCGTCCTCCTCAACGACCCCATTTTTATCCGTTTCTCGTTTATCCAAAGAATGGGCTCTCGTAGGCCCAAAACCCTTGCAACCCAACACGATAATAGCATCGCGAAAACCGAACTCTTGGCCCGTCTCGTCCATAATCCTCCCCGTCTCGATCGCCCTTTTGATTCCCATTCTCGAACAACGATCGACTTGCTCCAAATTTTCCAACAAGAAAACCCGGTGAGGATTTTCTGACACGGCCCGACCGAGTCTTGCGACGTAGCTTGATGACATGGCGGAGGTTGAGCCCGGCCCGAATGAGAAGAAGCTCGAATAAGAGCCAAACACGACCTTAGCCAACTCCTTGGAGATTCGCTCCTTGGATTGGGCCTTGTCCGGGCCGAGAAAAAGAAGCCATGTTTCTTGTTTGGGCCCGTTGATGTTAGTACTATCATGGCCTCCGGATAGGGACTTTCTTGTCAACATTCCGGACCTGGAGGGGTATGACTGTCATTTCAATTTTTGTACTTAAAAGTTGATCATACTCTGTTTTTTTTCCTAACCTTTTCAAGNTAAGAAAAATATCCTCTGTTTCTTTATTGAGCAAAATTACGATTTTGATGGACTGTATAAATTTATATCAAAATAAATCTCCATATATTTTAATATTTAGTTGTTTTATTCTTTTATCTCTCCTCTCTTACTTTATAAATCATAATCTTTTGTCCCTCTTTCATACCAAAAAGAAAATGTGTATATATAGAGAAAAAGCTTAAATAATTATAATATCACAAAGAATGAATAAACTTACACAACGACAGGTAATCATCAAAAAGTTGTATATTTATATTCTCAACACGCCATGTAATTTGAAACGGAGATAGTATTATTATAGATATTATATATTTTTTTCGATTATGTTGGAATATTGTGTATATCTTTTTTCATTAGGTAGACGATTAAATCACCTGCATTGCAATATGGTTGCAACAATTTCTGGAATAATATCCTTCTGCCATGGAACCTCTTTCTCGATTACGTCACATAATGCGTTGAGATTTTCACCGTTGAAATGTCGCTCGTGATCCACCTCCATGACCTCACTCGAAGAAGCCGAATTCGAAGAAATTGTGTTTCTTGAATTTATATTGCTAGGTCCTAATGGATTGGACGTCCGGGTCGGGTCGGGTGAGGATAAACGGGTCCGGGTCGGGTCGGGCTCGGTCTTTTGATGGTCAAATATTGAAAAGCAAGGTGAGGAAAGTGGTGTGTAAGAGAATGTTAAGGTTTTGTCTAATAAAGGTAATGGGGCTTTATGGGATGAGTTGCAGAATGAGTTCCATTTCTTGCATAGTTCTTTGACTGCCTCTGAGTTCTGAAAAAAATTGATTGAGATAAAAAGAAAAGTTAATCACTAATAAAAAAAAAAGGAAAAAGATTAAAAAGTGTTTATCTAAATCAAGATAATTTACATTAAGTTGGAAAAGGTAATGAGACCTGATTATTATGGCTATTATTAAGTCTTCTACTTTCATCTTTAAGCCAAAAGGGCAAGCTTGGATGCTCTCTTCGTAAGTTCCGAGCTTCGTCTTCGAATTTGGCCGTGCAATCAGCGCAACACAAAAGCGTTACATCTCCATTAACAATCATCGGTCGTAGCTGATCCGAATTTCCATTTTCGACATCTTCATGATCATGATCACTAGAAGTTGACAAAATTTCAAAAGAAATCAATAATACAACATTATATCGAAATTGTGATCATCTTATCATCAAAAAAGAAAAAAAATGTGGTCGTACCTCTGAGAAACGAGACAAAACCCCAAACTATCACCCAGGATCGTGACTGGATGCAAGCCCCAAACGCTCTCGAGCGAATTATACCCGTTTGTACAACTCATGTACGTCTCGAAAGTCGCGACCCCCATTAGCCAAAACCTCTCGTCCTCCCCAATCCCCCGAACCAGACGCCCGATCTCCATAATCACGTTCTCCACCGAGCAATAGTACTCGTCGGCCAACCCTAACCTAACCCTAAACTCACTTATCCACTTAATATCCCCCAAATACAAAACAACACCTTTCCCCAACAAACCCCTAACGAGCCCCGTCAACTCACCGACCTTCCGTTCGACGTCCTCCCGACCCAAATTGCGAAACGTGTAAAACGACGGTATGGTAACAAATTTCACCTCCCTCAAATCCCCATGAACCGACCCGCGGTCGACCCGATCCATCAAACCCTTGACCGAAGATTCCAAAACGGATACGGATTCGCCGACTAAAACAATGCTCTTAGGGTTTTTACGGCCGAGTAATAGGGTTTCGACGGCGGTTATCCCGGCATCGTGTTGGTTTCTTGATTTGTTCGTCGGTGGTTGTTTTGTTCGTGGCGAATGGTTATTATTATTGTTATTGTTGTTGAGGATGGCTTTTTCGACGTTGTTTTTGACTTGGGTGCTCGAGAAGCCAGCCTCGCGCATGACTCGGCTGACGCTCGGGTCGTCGAGGATTGAGAGGACGAGGCGGTCGAGGGGGATGCGGATGGGGAGGAGATGGGCCGAGGAGGTGGGAGGAATCTGGGATTGGGCCTCAGGGGGAGGCCCACGGCGGTGGTGGGCCTGGGCCCGTTTGAAGGCGGCCACGAGGGCGTTGGAGACAGAGGGGTGGGGACCGGCGGGGAGGCGGTTGAGGGCGACGTTAAAGCAGAGCTCCAGGGCCTTGCAGCGGAGGGGGTGGGAGTGGGACCCGGCGCAGGCGGCGCGGAGGAGGCCGGCGGCGGCGCCGGCGC